ACACTAGTCACGTGACCTCGCTGACGCAACAATATTTTATTGAAGAAATAAAGTATTTCATTATCGCTATGTGGACTAGACTTTGCATTATTTTTACCAAATAATCCTAAAGAACCCGCCCTACGATATAACAGTTTATAATAAAGAGCGTTTCCGTTTGCCGAGGTGATTTGTCTATCTGACATGAACCTTTTTATGATATGGACCATATACTATACTACTACAGACTTATGGCTTATTTAAGCAGACATGTCTTACCGATTTCAGAAATCCTCTCCTCCTAGTTAATTAGAATGTCATCGCTACACATAGAACATCAGCACAAAAAATTAGAAACATTACCTGAATACATCTGTTATGGAAGGGTTTGGTTTGAAGTTAAGCACAAAGCTACAATAGGGCTATCTGCGCTAGCCGTCTCTAATTTAGCAGTGAAAGACTAGAGGGAAGGCAAATAATCATCACTACCCACCGCCAACTCTTGGGCTACTCTTTAACCAACGAATAGTGGGATTGACCATCACATTATAAAGCCCCCATGGTTGAAAGGGCGAGCATGTTTGATGAGATTGCGAGTGAAGCGCCCTAACCACCTAACCATACCAGGACGTATGGAAAGGTGGAATCAATAGTTGTCCCACCTTTGACGTTCTGTGTAGTGGTAGTGATCAGGATTTGATGTAAGGTTTTCTTACTAAAAAGTACTACTGTCATGTGCACTAATTAACCTTACAGATAAGGCTAGTAAAGGCAACAGTAGGAGGGATGGTTTGAAAATGCTATGTAAATCTACATTCTATTAGTTAAAACAGCGGATATACCTTCCAAATGTCATAAAACTGCATATTAATCTATGTTGCTTTGCAGAAACCTCTTTTAAAAAATATTTACTTTGTTAAGTCCATATCACAAGCATACACGTGGTGAATGTGAAAATAACAAAAACAGCTGCAAGCTAACCAGATTATCATCATGAATATTTTAGGCTCATTGTTTCAATAGCCTCATATTTAGCTTGAATTATTAGGTTGTCAAGAAATTAATGTCGCGTTTTGAAACACTTTCATTAACCACCCCCAAAAAATGTACATCAAGTATGATAGTTAAACGAACCGCCTAAACGTCACGTTAGTGTAGTCTATATAATGTGTAAAGTTTAGTATACT